AAATCCATCGCAATTCGCGTATTTCAATAAGCTGCCCACACCAATAGTCAGAGTATTAGTGCGGAGCTCAGCTCAGCTGGCACAGCAAATCGTTAAGCTCTCTGCCCTCAACTCAAACATAACTCTGTCGGCACATTTGTTGGAGCAGGCAACTTGGCGATTAAAGCAGATTAAGCCCAGTGCTCAGGCAATGCATACAAAGCACGTGAACTGCCAGTAAATATCATGCAAACTCCTACTATATACTATACACACACACAGGCATACATACACACGTATACATATGTATATGTAGAGGTAACCTTACTCTGTGCACTTGCCTGTTACTGGCGCCAGGCAAATGGCAAACAGCCAGGATAACGATGCCACTCAGCTAGCCCGGCTCCATGAAGCGCACACAGAGAGCGTGAGAGAAGAAGAGGGCGAGGGAGATGGAGATGGCAATGGAGAGAGAGAGATAAATGTAGTTTGCCTTTGGCGTAACAGGAATGCCGCATCGATTTCATGACGTGCGCTCTCTCTCTCTCTCTCCTCGTGACTCGAACTTCCTTTTTAGACTGCCTTAAACAAGATTTGTGTTATTCCCGACATTTTCGCCCACTCACGCTACCTATTTATGCGCCAAATCAGGACACAGTGCGGTAGGCAACAAGCGGCAAGCGGCACTCAGCGACCATTGTGTGATGCCCTCGTCGCCGCTAGGGGATGCTGCTGCTCCCAGCAGGGTGGGGGCGGGCGGTCGGTCGGTGTTCAAATGAATAACTGAAGTTTCAGTTATTTTTTGTCTCATTACTAGAGGAACGACTGCCATACGCACCCACAACTCAATTGACAGAGCGACATAATGAAGACAGCAACAGGGGGAGAGAGAGAGGGAGTGGGAAGGGAGACAGGAGACAGGAAGTTGGTCACAAGTTTCAGTGCTCGTTGGGCTGCGTCTTTGTCTCGCACGACAGGTGCCAAGAGCGAAAGTGTAAGCCGATTGTTGCCTTGGCTATTGATGAGCTAAAAGCGATTTTCGACTTTGTAGGCCCATTAATTAAAAATAATTAAAGCCAGCAGCAGCAGCAGCAGCGGCTGTGGCAGTCGATGCTGCCTCCTGCTATGAATTACGTATACGCCACATTGTCTGCTAATGAATTTAATCAAAGTTTTGGGCGCATGATGTGCCCGTGGTTGTTGTTGTTGTTCATATTCAAGCACACACACACACATACACATCTACACACACATGTAGCACATTAAAGACATGCCTGCATATATTTATATAAGGCAGGCACAAGAAGTCGGCAACTGAAGCGTAGCCAGTGCACGCACAGCTGCCACAAATGGCAACAATTGCACACACACACACATACACATGAGTGYGTTAATATTTATGAGCAGGATATGCGCCATATCCTGCGCTCTGCTCACTGGCCACAAACGAATTATGGCGCCCACTAATTGCGCCGAGTTAAAACGAAAAATGTGTAGACCCACAGTCAAGCAGCAGGCAGTTAATGTAACACACACGCACACACACTCGCCTATTAATGCGYGTGAGTGTGTGTGTGTGTGAGTATTAACAATTCACGTCGCTTATGTAGCCCAAGTTATTTATGTTTATGATTACGTTGCGGTTAGCAGCTTTGACTTGCCTTTCGATTTCGCTCTCTCGACCAGGAAGCGAATGCTTCCACAAATATTACAGAACTCTAGAGTCTTCCTCTCAAAGACCGCATTGGATGCTGTGAGTTATGGTGGTTGTTGTCTCTAAGCTCAGCTAGTCCATGGAGCCGGAGTAATTAAATTATTGAAAACGAGCTGCTAATTAAATGAGCTGACGCAATCCAATAAATAGATTGAGCATTAGATATGCTTGAATGGGTGGTGCCCATTCCCCATTCCTTGGCTCGGCCAGTCTGTCAACAAATAATTAATCACTTGAAAAGTGAAATTTAATTTTCAATTTGTGTAGCTGGGCAGGGAGACTGCCGCACACCGAAGGACTAGCCTCGGCCGCAGCACAGTAACAAGGACGCAATCAAAAATACAAAGCACCAGAAAAGAAAATGTTAACTGGGTCAACAGCTAACCTTCAGCATAAAACGCAGCATAATTGCAGGCGCAGATCCGTTAAATGAAGCAGAGCTCTCTCTCTCTCTCTCTCTCTCTATCGGTCTCTCTTTGTCTGTCTCACTCTATTGCCATCTCTGTCCCGCTCGTTTCGAGCGAAAGTGAGAAGCATGTCAAGGCGAGCGGCAAGCTGACCCAGTAAATGGCTTTGCAAAATGGGGACAGCCCCGCTCGGGCAGGGAGCTGTGGCGCTCTGTGTTATCAGTGCAGAGCCAGAGGAGCCGTGCAGCGTGCAGCCGGAACGCCGGAGCGCGTGCTTGCTCGGCAGCCTCGTTTGCTGCTCGTGCAACGGAGCCGGGCAGCAGGCCAGGCAGCTGGGCCACCAGGCAGCGAGGCAGCCAGTTGCATTGTCCGCACCAACACAGTCGCATTTGGCACCGGCACGGCACCGGTTCACTGGCTGCTGCTGCTGCTGCTAGCTCCTTCAGCGAAAAGTCGCGCGTCATGCAGGCAACGGCGCTCAACTACTACGTGGAGCGCAGCGACTACGAATCGTGCGGCGAAAGTGAAGCCAGCCCGGGCTGCCCTTCCTCCGTCGCCTCCAGCGCCTCCTCGCGCGCCAGCACGCCAGCCACCACCAGCCAGCACCGCAGGCACAGCCACAGCCACAGCCACAATCAGTCTCAGCATCAAGTACGCAGGGCTTACCTAGAGCCTTTAAACCCATTCATTATTAATCGTATTGTGCCCAGTGTTGGATAGCGTTTAATCAATTTATGCTTTGCTTCGTGTACTTGCAGTCCAAGAAATTCCGTTGCACCTGGAAGGGATGCGACATTGTGGAGCCCACACAGATGAAAATCGAGCGACACGTGCGGGACATACATTTGCGGTAAGTGCAATGGCCCAAGAGGCAAGGGGCGACGGTGGGGGTGGCAGTGTTAGTTGTGCAGCAGACTCACTGAGGGTGCAGGCTCTTGGGGGCCAAAAGCAGCGCGCAACCAAGAGCAGCAAGTGGCTGCCTGGGCCTTGACTTAGTACAGCTAGCAACAACAACAACAACAGTCCGCACAGCAACAGCAACAACAAGAACAATTGACAGCATTACAGCGCGCGTCACAGCTAACTGCACAGTGGTATCAAAGCAGCAGACGAGAGCCTGCTATCATTTACAGATATTATATATATCCTATGGAACTAGCTGCAAATATGCTCAAATCAGCATTAGGAATATATACATATTCATACATATATATATAAATAATTATTATATTACTGTAGCCACTGTTTGCATGCAAATTACTTTCATCGAGCAAAGCACTGTGCAGGCCGCTTGAAGCTGTTTAAAACTAGAACACTTGTATACACATGCCTGCATGCATGAGTCTGCGTGTGTGTGTGTGTGTGTGTGTTTAAGTGTAACCAGGTCACACACACACCAACCCGCACACACCCACACACACACACTTTGAGTTAACTTTGCGCACCTGCATTTCAAGTGTCGCAAATGGCATAGACAATCGTTGGGGGGCGTGGCATTTTTTTGCGGCCCTGTTCTGGGCAACTGCGTTAGCAGTTTTGAGGCCAAGGTTCAAAGCTGAAACCCGCTTAGGCGTTGACATTTGCGAATGTTAAATGTTATTTCCTATATAAATGTTTTTTGCCTAGCAGTGCAGTGCGGGACGATGCAAAAGAGAAAATAAAAGCAAAAAACCAAACAAATAATAAAAGGCCATGTTTTTAGGTTTTGGTTTTTTTTTTTTTCTCTTTTTGCTCTCAAAATGTTCTTTTTTCTGCATAGAGATGGGGTTATGTAGATTCTTATATAGAATTATAGTTTATACTTGTATTCAGTTGCATGTTGTATATTGTATGTGTTGGTGGTGTGGTTGTTGTTCTGGTTGAATTTATTGTTGTTGTTGTTGGCAAACGAACAGCTCTAGGGCTACACTAAAAAGTACAATGCAAATACTTGACACTCTCTCTCTATATATATATATAAATGTGTGTATAGTTGTATAAGTTTTGCTTTTATATACTATATATCTATATGTGTATTTATATATCTATATATAACGTTCGAGATATCAACTATGCGCTTGGCAGAGGCTGGTAGCGACGTAGGAGCTCTTGTAGTTTCTATATAAGTGGAGAGCAAAATGAAAAAGGAAGTTGTAAAATGACAAGAACACAGGGAAATCAAAGTGAAAGTTATAATCTCTAATCGCGACTAATTCACAAATACATATATATAAGTGTAACTTAATGGATATGATCTATGAGCGATTCGTTAGACTATTTAAAAGAAAACTAAGCATAAACGTCGAATTTGCTTTTTACATATTGAAACTAGGCTTTTCATTTTTGTTGAGGTACATGAAATAATTGATATACAGTACAATGATATATACTTAACATAATTTAATATAACATACATAGATACAGGTTGATTTATTGAGTTCGTGTTTTGTTCAAAGCTTTCTCCACCCTATCCATATTTGTTGCTTTATTTATTTGCAATCTGCATACTGCAATTGGCATGAACTAAGAAACTTTCCTGAAGCAGCAGTTGATCTACGTTGATTATTATAGTGTGTGTATATATATAAATATATGATACTTGTATTACATAACATACATACGTTAAAAACTCTAAATGCTATGGGTGGCTAAAATTATTCTTATCGATTATATGCTGCTGTTCTAAACAACTACATACATACATTAGTTAGTCTGCCTTGATTGTGTATCTCTGCGATATTCAAATTTCTCTTCGATTCTAATTATGCTTATTATTATTATCGTTTATCTCTTGATATACAAAATATCCACAACATATGCCTAGGCGTGAACGATTTCCGAGTACCTAACTTAACTTTCGGAGCATACAAAAATACAATTCACAATAAATCTCATTCAAAATAAATAAAAGTAAAAATTACATAAAAAAAAGAAGAAAACCTAAAATAGACAAACTTTTGACAGAATTAAATAACAAAAGATTCATAAACAAACACATTCATTGATAATTGTCCTAGCTCAGTACCAATCCAGTTTTTAGCCAAGTAGATTTTGCCAGCATGTTGTAGTATTTGCCACCTTGAACAAACTTCATTTCCCTTCCATTTCTAGTGAGGATGCAGAAGTCCATGGGTAATGTCCATGCCAGCGTCACCCATTCCATTGACCGACAGAGTGCCGTTTAGCATGCTATTAGCTGCAAGAGAGCGCAGTAGGGATTATAAAATGATAAACTCTGAGGTATTAGTTTTTGGTAGCGTACAATTTCGGTTACCCTGCGTATCCATCTGAGTCCAATACTGTTCCGATGGGCTCTGCGTATTAGTCCCCGGCGGTGCCTGTACCGGCGCCCCCGTGTACCGAAAATACGGATTCTTTAGATCCAGTGTATTGCTCGATGATATCAAGGTACCTTCGATATGAAGATCAATAGTCACGTCATACGACTGCCGCCGATTAGCTTCCAGCAGCACTCGACCCGTCAACGTCTGGCCCTGCTTGATGAAAATTGGCATCGGCAGCAGGCAGCGCACCTGATACCAGTGAGTCAGTGGCGCTGTTGGCGAAGTGGAAAGCCAGACATTCTGGCTGCTGCCACTGAACTCCACATCAAACCAAAATGCTAGTCCATGGCATATGCCCGTTTGCAATATGTGGAACTCGAGTGGAATGTCTAAATTAAACAATTTCAAGTTAATTGGGAATAAATGTAGCAATATTCGAGTGACTTTACCAATGACATGTAAATCATCTTCTTTATCGTTGAGGAAGTCGCATACATGGCGCACCGACTTGGCCATGCAAATGCGTATGTCAAATGTGTCCACGATCGGTTGACGGAAGTACTCTTTCATGCCCTCCTTATGCAGGGTTGTTAGATCGACGCCGTGAAAGGCCGATTGATACCAGAAGTTGGCCTTGTTATACTGCTCCGAGTAGAGAGACTCATCTGAGAAGGGCGCAATGTGCAGATCGCCATGCGTGGGATACATTTTGCCATGGGGCTTTAGCCATTTACGCGCATGCAGATATGTCTCCAGCATGCGTTCGTTGTAGAGCATATAGCCCATGGGCTCAGATATGATAACATCCACCTTTTCGGGCAGCTCAATTTCTTCAATTTTGCCGGGTATCACTGAGATCTTGTGCTGCACATTGTTCGACTCGACCAACTGCTGTGCGTATTGTGCCATATTGGAAGCCTCAATCGCATACACCTTAGCAGCACCGGCTTGTACGGCAAAGAAAGATAATATGCCCGAACCGGCACCTACATCCAGCACAACCTTATCCTGAAAATGGTATTCAATTTTTTAGTGAAATCAGTAGGTCAGCGGAGCAAATCTATTTCAGTATAGATTTAAAACTTTGAATTTACTTGAAAGTCAATGGCATTGCCTAAGATGGCTCGCTGATAGGTGCTAGTCCTAACGTAGTCTTGCATCATGTTTTGCTGCTGGCTTAGGTAGCCATAGAATTGGAAGTACTGCGATGCGGACGATTCTTCGGTGCGCTGGGAGAACACGGACTTCGGCCTCAGATGCTTCACATTCTCCACAACCTTACGGAAGAGCTGCTGATCCTTATCGCTAACAAATCGTAGTACCAGATTATCCGATTCCAAGGAAATAGCATAGCAACGCCGTCCTAATTGAGCAGCATCCGTATCCGCCGATATCATATACTCCTTCAGCACATGCCCTTGATCGTTGTCTAAAAAGTGCAAGGGAATATCGAACTCAATGTCAATCGGCAGATAAGACCAGTTAAGATGTACTACTCACCCAACATAATGCGCAGCAGGACGCCTTGGGAGTCGTAGCTACAGCTTAATGTACAACTACTGTTATATTTGTTGCTAAATTCGAGCTTCTGCTCGTCGGTAATGGCGCTTATAACAACGCCTGAAAACTGGCAATTGCTGAGAGGGCAAAGCGCCGCTACGACGCTGTTGATGCCCTTATTATTCTGATCGGCTGCGATGCGGCCGCTGCTGCTGCTGCTGGTGGACATTTTGGTGTGATCTGTGCGGCTGGCCACTGAGTATGGGATTAGGAATCGGGTGGATAATCACAATGCTTTTCGGTATAATTGACAATGTAGGCTGTAAGATGCACGCGGACGCAAATTAAATACGCATATACTAGTAGGCAAGCTCACTCACGCACACACACACACATTTACTCACTCACAAGCATACGCACACAAAGGGAGACAGCCACAGACGCACGCGAGACTCTTGCGACGCGCAAATTTTTTCTGTCGCCGACGACAGAAATCTCAAAATTTTCCACAGCAATTTATATGTGCGTCAAGCTTAAGCAATGCGTATGCTGTACACTTATATCTTTTCTGGCAAATATATATTAATTTGTGGCGCGCACTGTCTCGCTGCTATTGCAAAGATCGATCGATTTTTGTTGATTTTGTATTGATTTGACACAGAACGTGCGTGTTTTTTGCAAACGTTGCTACAACCCTGCAGCTGTGTTTTTGGCGTTGGCAAGTGAATGGCCGCAGCGTTGCCAACTTTTTTGCGCTGGCGTTGCCATTTCCGATATCAGCTAATGGCAACATTACAACCATTCGCTTGCTCAATGATATAGAGATGCGTCATGGTGAATTGTGATCACAGTGACAGCCGTGAATGTTACTGAACGTAACGGATATTAAACAGCTGCAAATAAATTATCAAACAAAAATACTATGTAATAGAATAGCAGTAGGTTATAATGAAAATTAAACTTTGAATCAGAGATTAATTCTTGTTATGAATTAATAGGATAAAACTACTACTACTACAACTTTTATTTTCCCACAATGCAAACGCGATTTGAATGCTCATCTCTAACTTGAGGGAGAGATTATAGCAACATATAGCAACTTTAATGAATGGACATAATAAAAAATTAAACAATGTCAATATTTGTGCACTTGCAGCAAAAAAGCCAGACGCTCCGGCGAATATGATTCCTGCAGTGATAATGAGCACGAAGAGGAATTCTATTACACAGAAGACGACGACGATGACGAGTTGGTCAAAACGCCTAGTCCTGCATCTCCACCCACGCTCAGCCACCGGGACATGGCGCGTCCACCGCACGAGGATCCAGAATACCAAAGACAGATCGTTGGCAACTTCAAGTAAGTGAAGTGAAGTGTTTGTCTGTCTATATTCACCATATTAATATTTGATATTTATCGCTACAGACAAGGACGCGCTATGAATAGCTATCCCCACCTCACACAGCAGGCACATCAGCAACATCACAGCAGCAGCAACAGTAGTGGCCACATCACAAACATCCAGCATCAGCAGCTGCAGAGCAACAACACCAGCTGTATACCGACATCGCCGCTGGCGCATCACAATTATACCTGGGCATCCAATGGTGCGATCACAGTGAGCGCATCCTCGACGAACCATCACCACAGCAGCAATAGCAGCATCAACAGCGGCAGCAGCAGCAATAGCAGCTCGACGACACTCGGCAAACATGCTCGGCCTTCGTCGTCGCGTCCGTCCCACTCGACAGCGCCATATCCATCGCCGACCTTCGTCCTTCAACACCACCACAATTACAGCAACAGCAGCATTGGTAGTTCCGCCAGTAACAGCAGCAGCAGCAGTAGCAACAGCAGTCCGGTAATACACAGCAACAGCAGTGCCAACAACATGTTACAGCAATTGTCGCAGCAGAATGTCACGGTGACGGCGCACCACACTCACAATAGCAGTGGGCAGCACCACCAGCAACAACACCACCTGTCTAGCGTGACAATCACGCCCAATTACCATCCGCCGCAGCAGCAGCAACAGCAGCAGCAGCTCCAACAGCCGCAGCAGCAACAGCAGCAGCATTTGCGCGGCCAGCAACAGACAACTGCCAGCAACAATCTGGTTGCCAATTCCGGCCAGCACATGCAGCTCCAGCATGTGGCCGTGCAGCAAGTCGTGACCGCAGCCAGGAACACGCCAAACTCATCGAACCGACGCACACGCGGCGAGAATAAGAAATGCCGCAAGGTCTATGGCATGGAGCGCCGCGACCAATGGTGCACTCAATGCCGATGGAAGAAGGCTTGCAGTCGCTTCGGCGACTGAAAACGACAGAAAGCGTCGACCGAAGCGGCTCAGGCCCAGGCGTCGGCGATGCTGCGGCAAGGCGAAACATTTAAAGCAGGAGCAGCGGCAACGGCAACGGCAACGACAACATCCACAGCAGCAGCAGTAACATCAACAGCAGCAACAACATCCACAACGACAGCAGCAACAGCTGCTGCTAAATTGACAACAGTGGTGCGTTTGGCCGCCGAAGTGGCGGTTGGCAAGCAGTTGCCAGCTTCACTGACTATTAAAACACACAAACGGTATGGCGTACATCACATACAGCCATACAACATCAGCCAATACAGCAACAGCGCCAACAACAATGTCAATCGATTGCCGCGTGTTAAGAGTGTTGCTACTTCGGTGATTGTATCACCCGCTGCAGTTGTGACCAAGCCGTTGCCCACGACCCCGACCTCGACCACGACCACGCCACCCACCGCCAACATCAATAATAATAATAATAATAATAAGGACGACGCAGCTGTTAACGACGTTGTTGATGATGACAATGATGATGATGATGTACAAATGGAAGACGTTACTGCTGCTGCCAATGGATTGTTAGCCTGGAGTCGAGCTGCTGCTGCGGGCCAGCTGTAGTTATTGCTAAAAAGTGTCCGCCGTTTAACAAACAAAATACAACAAATTAATTAAATATAATATGTATATGTATATGTATATACATATATATG